CCTCTCATGGCTTTCAAGAGCCTTGTGCTGTGCCTGTCTTCTCCTCTAGCACATTATCTCATGTTGCATATTACACCCAAGCATGAGACAAGCTGCAAGTTACAATGTGCAGTGTGTTGCAATATGTGATTTGTGTCCCTTCAGAACACACAAGCAGCAAGATCGTCAAAACCAGCCTTCCCTATTGGCTGTTTGATTTTTTGCCACAACAAGGACACCAACAACACTGAACCTAGTAAGTGGGGACGTGAAAATGAAGCTCTGCCCCAGCAGCTCTGCTCAGAAAGCACAGGCTGTCTGGTTTGCAGCACACCACTCTTAAAAATATGAAGGGGCACAATAAGGTCTTTTGTCTTATTGTTTTCTACAGTGCTTGCAGACACACTTCTACCCATCTAAAGAAGAGACTTTCCAACAGTGCAGTGAACTCTTGATGACTGATGTAGAATTACAAGACAGCAGAATACATGGTAACTATTTCTTTGCATTACACTTTCTAAATTGTGATTCTGCTTGGCCTTAACGGTATAGATCAGATTCATCCCAAGCACAGTCCCAGCAACCTCAGGTCAGTGGAACCTGAAAAATCAATAGCATTTAAGTTATAACATGGGAGATTTTGGCCCAGGCTGTACGAATACTTACTTTTATTGTAGATATTCTTCACTTGGTATTATGCTTCATTGAATGTATTTTGATGTTCTCTAATGCTAAGTACTCTACTTAGCAGGTTCTGAAGCTCCACTAGGAGCTGGAATAGGCAAAATCTGTACTAAACCAGGTTGTGGGGCTGCCCTGGAGGCTCTGAGTGAGTTTGACTTTTGCTTACATGAAACAGAAAATCACCCTTGTACCAGTTGTTAGCTAGCTACTCCTAGCAGGAACAAGCTCATAAGGACTTGCTTTTCTTTGTTTACTGTCATGCTCTGCTCTGACAGAGTCAGAAGTTTTGTCAAGGCATTTTACTCTGTCAAAAAATTAACAAAATAACTTATACTGATCAAATAATGGAACAAAGCAGCATCAGACTAAACAAATTCCTTCAAAGCATTTTGGATGGAAAATGTCTTACTGCTGACAGGGAGGCAAGAATAGCAAACAAAGGTATAGGAATAAAAACTACTCAATAAAATATAGATTTCATTATCACCACCTATTCAACTTAATTTTCTTGGCATCCATATCCCTAATGCAGGTTTGTGATAGATCGTACAATCACTTTTTAATTAAGCCCTACTGTGCTTTGTATTAAGAACAAGGCAGTAGACATTATGGCACAATATATCTACCAAAATATTTAATGCTTATCCTTTTCATTTTGGTATTTAAAAGTTGTTCTCTTAGGAGGTGGTATCAGTATTTAACAACATTCTTGACAGTAAGTATAAAAACAAAAAGCTTCATACTTAATCTAGCCATGTCAAAACTGAAACCCCTTAAAATAATTGCTTTCTGAATGTATGGTATTTCCATTGCATTATTTTATTATTACTCAGCTTGCGACATCTTAAGATGCAAAACTTGTTCTTTTCCTACATACTGATGAGATAGGAAGTGGCACGAGGATAGAAAACTGACATTTGACCAATACAGTTGAATGGTACACGAAACAGATGTTATCATGTCACAAAAGATATATTTAATGAGAAGCTGTGGAAGACTGGAAGCTTCCTGGGTTGGTAGTATTTTCTTTGGGGTTTAGCTCTCATTCGGTGTATTGCAGCTCTGCAGCCTGTGATGGGGCAGATCCTCTAAAAGAACAGTGCTCTTCTTCCAGTGGAGTACTGGCACTTTTCAGAGGGCAACATTTACTTTAATTACTAAAATGTACCCAATTTCTTCCAAGAAAGAAAAGGCTGTTGTTGCATATATAATGTGGTTTCAGTTTTTAATGCCAGAAATGAATCAGTAAACATAGTTCCATTATGGTATACTATTTCTTATTCTGTACCCATAGTAACCAAATTAATTTCAAGGCGCTGCTGGCATTAATTCAATCTGAAGCTCACACTTTGGATTTCACATAGGTGCCTTCATCCTATTCTTCTTCTCAACTAATAAAATGTTAATATATGGCAATATATTTATTTCTGGTTCAGTTCAAGTTGAGGTGTGCAGTACTTTGCAGAAACCTAATTAATATCAATCATATATTACAACATTGTGTGGTTTAGTATACAAAAAAAAATGGTGCTAGCACATGAGCATGAAACAGATGACCCAGGACTTCATTTCTAGCTGTAACTTCTCTGTTTCTAGGATAGGGAAGGCCACTTTCTCCTTACCTTTCAATCTCCATTAAAAAAAAATCCCTAACATACAGCAAAGAACTACAATAAATATATTACATAAGAAAAAAATAAACACACAAGAGTAAGGAGGTCTTGGAGGATGAGATACTGACAAAACCAGGACACTGCCCCTGTACCACCATGAGTTTGGTGTGCACTGGCAATAAGCTGCTCCCACAGTGACCCAGCAGTGCTGTCTTCAGCAGCACGCGCTGATACAGGTTTTTCCACTGGGACCTACCAGCCTTCAGCCAAAAAATCACATCCAGTTGATAGAAAAAAAGCATCTCCACATCCCAGGAACTGCACTTGAACTGCTCAGGAGACATAAGCAGTTCAATAGCTGTGGTGTTGACTAGACCTACTCTAGACCACAGCAAAATGAAATACAGTTCTTTTGTCAGAACTTAATTTGGGCAACCTGAGACCCCAGGCACACTACTATTATAAAGTCTCAATATCTGCTCTACTCCCCATAGTTAAAGAGTTTTGCAGCAACAGTTCATATTTCTTGGAGCCTTTTTTACCCAGCTGCTCCCACTCCCATGTATTCCCAGGAGCTCTAGTGTCCCCAAGTATTTTGGTGCTTTCAAAATGCCCATCTAAGAGAAATTACTGCACTGAATGGTGCCCAGCTTGATCCAACCATGGCCAGAGCAACAGGGCCATATTCTGTCATCCTTATTCACTACATACAACAAGCAGTCCCATGAAAAGGGTGAGCTGGTGTGAAGAGTTAAGGCAAACCTTCTGGATGAGCAGAGGGAGTGTGGGTGAGCTGTGGCTCACCAGGTGAAGATCCTTGCTCTGAAAAGAATCACCATCATATGAGTGCATGGAAGCTCAGGCCTCAAGCCTTGCATGGGTCATAGACCTGTAGCAAAGCTTGGTTTTGGCTTTTGACCATCCCACCTTCTGGCAAAAGTCACAGAGATGTTTGAGCAAGCCCACAGCTTGGTTGCACTGGCAGCCCCATCCATGGACACAGAAGACTCAGTGGATCGCTCCATCAGGCACGTCACTCAAGGCTGTAAGCCCAGGCCTTTGCAAATGGACCCATCTCAAACCAACCTGCACACCACAGGACTGCATTAAACACAGAGCCCCTCTGATCATTTCAGGTTCTTGCATCGGGAACTGAGCAGTAAAACTTTCAGGGGCCCTAGTGAGCCCCTGGGCACTCACACAGGGCTCTCTATGGCCTTGAGCCCTGCCTGCATATTGCATCCAAGGGCACAATATAGTCCTTCACTTTTACCAACTGCTATAGAATAAGAATTCCTAGAATGGCCCAAACCAGTTCAAATATGGGTACTTTCAGACTTCTTTTCTATTCCAAATTATGTGCTTTGCCAGCTTCAAAAAAACAGATGGAAAATACATCCCTAAATGTGCACCCTTGTGATCATTCCAAAAGGAAAGCAGCACCAAGTAGCTTAAAACGTTTGCTAGAAAAACTCTTTTCCATATCATGCAAATAGCAGACAAAAATAACTGCTAGGCAATTGATATACATACAAATATTGGTTATTTTAAACAGTAATTTGTTATTGAGGACATCTCACTGAAATAATATAATATTCAATTTCCTCTGCATTTGCATGGAAAAGGAGCTGGAGAGCGCATGATCATTCATTTAACTATTACGTAAATATGTCTATCTAAGATCACACGGCTTTCAAGCCAGAGTTCAAATACATGTTTAATGCATGAGAGTATGATGAAGAAACTTGTGAACTCACAGGTCTCATAGCCCAGTCTCAATCAGATACGAGCTTGGTGTAAATATGTACAGTATCGTGTGCTTTCAATAGCACCATGTCTCCAGGCAGCAGTCTGACATCAGCAAAGGAGACAGGTGGTTCCCTTTCCAAGCCGGGAGGGGAGAATAAAAGGAGTTAAGACAGTGTGTAAATATAGCGATATTTTTCCCTCGGTGTTTTGCTACAGTTTTCAGCCCTTAATGAATCTTCAGTGCATGAACAATTCTCATAACATCTTTGCTACAAATCAGTGAGTGGATGTCATGTCCTAAGATATTTATAACCTTAAAGGTAGTGGTAAGTGATACTGTTTGGCAGCCTTGGTTTAGAAGTGCTGAAGATACTTGCCTTTTGGTTTCATAAGAAAGGAGCTCCAAAAAGCCACAAAACCTCAGTTTCCTTGCTCTAAATGTATCCCTTATAGCAGGTCACTGTTACTAATAATGCCTGTAAGAATGACAAACAACAGTCAGTCACAGGCACAGAGTACGTCACAACTGCTTTTAGATAGCTCAACTTTGTAAACTCTAACAGTGTGAGATATGCTAAACCCTGCACAATCCACAGTAGTTTGATTTTGAATCTCACATTACAAGAGTTCACACGTACACTAACCTGCATATAGAATAACCCAATTCGGCCTTTCTTTCTATCTGTACATAAATAGATACTTTTTTTTTACACAGTGACAGCCACTGCCTCTTAAACCATTTTCTTTTGTTGCATTTCCTTAGAAACACAAATCTTGTTCCTTGGCAGCAGTTGCTGTAAGTGCTGTACCACATGCCCAAACTAGTTCTCAGTCACAGCTTTAATTCACAGTAAGTGGCACGAAAGGAGGTCAACACTTCTCAGAAACCACTTTCAGTTCTTTGCTGCTTCAGTATCTATTCTATAAAGCCATCCGCCCTAACAGAAAGAAAGTTGTTTCTTATATTGTGTCCCTTGCTTTTTTATTATTGTCATCTTTATGGAATGGGCTGCAGAATGTATCTGATGGAATAAAAGAAGATTATTCCTGGAACCACATTCCTGGTCTCCCTTTTGCAAGATCCTAAAAATATAAGCAAAAAGAAAATAAAAATTAATACTTTCTGCAACAAAACCAAAACGCTCCTTTCTTTTTCAGTGCAAAAAGACTTTATATAAATGGCATCTTGCAACTCAGTGTCAATCACTGTGTCTTACTTTCAGTTCAATTTACTTGCTTACAGAATGATTGGTTTTTTTTATCAACCCGACCAAGACATCATGGAGCTTGAAAATCAAACAGCCTTCTTTTTGCCATGATGCATCACTGGCAAGAGGAATGTCCTTGCTGACAATATTTTGCTGTCACATTTGCCTCTACAGCTTCACTGCCTTCTCTGTGATCAATGAAAACAGATTTTGACCTCATCTATTTCATTTCAGACCATATTCTGCCCTGAGGCACATGAGTACAACCTATCATAGTTATAGTGGCAATTGGGGCAGAATTTGTTCCTTTCCTGACAATTCAATATGTGATTCATGAAGCAGAATTGAATCCAGCTCTCCTTTCCTAGAGCTCCTCTGTTTCTTTGGCATTAGCATCAGTAAAAAAAGAAGCAAAGATGAATTTATGTTGGTCATATCAGCAGAACTGCCTGGGTAGTCAATAATCAGACTGCTCGGCAAGATGCTACTTGACCAAAAGTTAGTTACTGTATTTTATTTAAACAGTTTATTCTGTACTCTGCTTGCTTGCTTGACTTTTCCCTGTGTTTTTTAACTAATGGGATCGTAAGACCTGGAAAAACACCTCCTAGTCTTGAACATTTCTAATTGGCTTAATAAAGCAAACTGAAAAAAACATAATCCTCTCCACAACCATCACCTTAAAAAACATACCCATACTACTAGATGTGGAATACACAGTGTATTCACAGGGTATGCAGCACTAACTGGATGATCAAGTTTCCCATTAATCTCCAAGACAATGGACCACTTTTGAAAATACAGGCTCCATTTCTATTCATATGACCCAAAGTGCCAACACCTGTATACATTCTTTCATACAACTCACTGCACAGCTGAGGTGAACACACTTCAGCACACACGGCCCAAAATGGACGCACGGGAATGCCCTCGGATGTGCAGCACTCCACTGACCAACCTATGCTGTGGGGCACTCCCTCTGCACGACCTACAGAAGGAGGAGGGTCTGCTTGAGACCACCTTCAGAGCGTTGGCGCTTCAGAGCCAATAACAGGAGCTCATGTTGAACCCTGGAGGTCCCCAGTGTCTCCATGTCTCACTCAAGATGACAGGCCTCACATGCATATATTGTATTATAATTTTCTGCAGAATTCAGTTCCCAAGCAGGTTGGAAAGGTTGACATCACTTTGAAAACCACATCTAAGACATGTAATGAACTGCATACAGGAGACTAATCTATAGTAAATTTGATGTACAGTAAAAATAAACTCCTTAATATAACAAAAGCAGTAATCAAAACATATTGCATATTAGGCCTGCAAAGCACCAATTATCTGATGAAGAGAAGTAATGCGAGATAGTTACAGTTTCCTCAGTTATTTAACTATTTATGCCAATGGAAGTCAAGGAAAACAATGCCTACAGAACCACACATGAAAACTCACATGAAGGATTTCAGCCAAGATTTGAATTTAGATTTGAACATAAGGAGAAAAAACTATTCAACAATAAAACAACAAAAATAAAGGTCACAACCTCCAAATCCTGCTGCATCTTGCTACTGTACTGGTTATGAGAATACAATTTTTGGAAGTAAATTATTTTAATTTCCCTTACCATTTAAGAAAAATGCATTCAAAGCAAAACACTGAGCCTGATCCTGCCCTTCTGCAACCCCATCAATAACAGCCTTACCACACACTAGAGCGAAGAAGGATTTATCCTTTCCCATGGGCCATGCTCTGAGTTCTTAATTCAACACTATATTCACCAACTTGTTCAGTGAGATTAGCTGTGGTTTCAAGTGTTATTCACTCAGGCAATGGGTCTACAAACACCCTCTTGCTCTGTATTGCCAGACCAAAGAAGATATGAATAATTTGGGACACATTACCAAAGGCTCAAAGTATCTTCTGTGGGGTTTTCTTTGGAGTGAGAGACCTTCCTGTGTGTGAAAATTGGCCTTGTAATGAAATAAATAGGACTCACTTCTCTTCCTTTCCTTTTTTTAGGTAGCATGACCTAAAAAAGGATTTGCAAACGCACTTGGAGAGGAGAGAGAGAGATCTTGTGTCTATTGGATTTTTGTTTATTTTCTGCAGTTATTACAGAGAATTTCTCAAAATTCTCAAACATCTGTGAATCTTATAAGGTTCATCTTTTCAAAGTGCAGTGTGCCTAGCTTAAATTTCTTTTACTTCTTAGTATACTTATTACACTTACTGCAAACTATCCAAATGCCCACACAGTGCTTTAAATGGGGCTGCAAATATCCCTTGGATCACCATCAGCAGAAAGCTTCTCTTCCTAAAGGAAAGTAAAATTCAGCGCGACTTTTTGATCTACTATTTGCTGTTTTGTAAAACTGCAGGAAAACTTCTGCCTTAAGGGCCGAGCCCTGCTCCTTCGGCACTGAACCAGACCAAGAGGGGTCTGTCTGTGTGCCGCACCAGAGTCGTGCTTGGAGGCAGAGCACGACGAGCCTGCCAGAAGTGCTGATTCACTGCAGACACCAAAGAGGCTGCTTAGTAGCTAAGCTGGGGGGCAAAAAGATGGCACAGAGGAGAGGCATCTTCATCAGTGCAAATAAATAAACAGGAGGGAATGCCAGAGCTGTTGCAGAGACTGGATTCCCCGAGACCTCTGCTTAATACATGCGTGTTAGTTCGCTTATTGGAACAAAACCTGTTAATACAGCTCTAGCCATAGGGGGGGGAAATACTTGCAAATGCACAGAAGTCATGTAAATCAGAACTGCTGCTCTATTTTACAAGAAAATTTCTCCATTAATAATTTCATGACTTAGAGCAAATGAGCATGGTTGGAAACAGGGGACCCTGCTGATACTAATCTGAAGGCATAGGATACTTTCGTTTCTCTCTCACATATATACCAGACATACTCCTTGGCTCAAATTTGGGTGTGGACTAGGTGCTTTTGTGGCTAAAACACCACCTTCTAATTTGGTTAAGCCTACTAGTAACTTTTTTTGGTTTGGAGTCGCAAAATGTTGCATAAACCCTCCAGGATTTTAAAATCCAAATTCTCAGAGCTGTCACATTTATAATTAGAACGATCTGATACGACTGGCATTAGTGTGAGGTAGGAACATATCACAGAGGGCCAAGCAGACAAACTAAAATATTTCTCACCGTTAGAAAGGGAATTCTTCCAAGTAGAAATGTCAGTTGAGTCACAAGGGCTCTGTGCAAAAGTAGCACCTCTTCATCCTCATACCTACTCTTAGAAAGTCCTGCACTGTTGCTTAACTTAGTCCCACAGACCACACCACTTACCAAAGCCCTGACAACAGCCCTGGCTCCCCGTGTTAAACCCAGATTCTCCTCTGAGTAGAAAATTACTTTTCTCTAAGTGCAGGTTGTTTCAGAGCTACCTGTAACGCCCCCAGCCCATACATAAAGACAACATGTTCATATTGCACATAAAAAGAGATGTCCCCACACTGAAAAAAATGAGGTTTGATAAAACACCTTGTCACAGAATCCCTGGATGCAGAGCCAGTTGCAAGTGTAACCTTTTTATGTGCTGCTGAAAGTACTTTTCAAGTTGTTTACCTCCATATTGGAGAAGGAGAAAAAGGAAGTAAGAAAGGAGGGGAGGAGGGAGGGTACACTATTGTAGCTACTGAATCAGCAAACAAATGAGCGAGAGACAAAATGAGAATGGCTGTAAGGAACCTGGCACCATCAGCATGTTGAGTGAAACAATAAAAAAGAGCCTGGAAGAAAAGAGAAACACTGAATGCAGATACTAATTTTTCCTTTTTTTTTTTTTTTTTCTGGAAGAGGATTTATGATGCTAGATTTCAGTTGCCTCTTAATAACAACACCTGGCTAAATACAAATGAAATTAATTTTACAGCTGCAATCTTTCCACATTTTGCACATGGTGATTTGCTGAAAGAAACCCTATCACAAGGTGTAAAAAAGGAACATAAAACATAACATGCAATATTTTTTGAGAGACATCAATTGTAATTATATGAAACCTAACAAAGCTGCTCCAGGGAGAGGTGCATAGAGTTGCACAGCAGAGAGCCTGGCCCGCCATGCAGATGGCAAAGCTCCATCCAGGCAAATACAGTGGGAAGGCCACAGGGGCTCACATGTATCAAACAATAACAACGTGTCTCTTCCTTCTGCCATCAGGTCACTGAAACCAATATGAAAGTGGCATGGAGATGAACATGCTATGGTCAGGTATTAGGTTAGAACTTCCTACATGACCTGAAATTACAACCATCATCCCTCATACCTCTTACTTCCACGTGACAACCCCCATCCCATATCCTAAACTAAATCACTGGTCTCAAAAGTGTTACTAGCACAGTATGTGTTGTTGCACTCTTCATTCCAATGTATTTAGTTTTTCTTGAAAATCAGTAGAAACTGATCTGTAACATAGACCTGGCATTAAAACACACTTCTGACTAGCACTGTACCAGTGCTGTGTGGAAAGCAGAAATGACTCCTCCAAGAAAATATGAAAAATTTCTGAATACTACATCTGAGAAACAAGGTGTGATACTTATTTCAGTGTTAGGACAGGAGTAGTTTACCTGCTCCTTCCTCTCCTTACCCCATGATCGGACTCTGGAAAATATTTCTGTTTCACTGCTTGGGAGAATGAAAGATGGTGCTGTCCTTTAGTCTGTGTACCACACCTACAAAATACATTTCCAGGAAAGTAGTATTTTCTGCGTTGCTTTCTGGTGGTGAGGGTCATATTATTAATGCATTTGGCTCACCTTCCTGCAACCAGGCACAGATACAACAGGAGAGGAGACCTGCAAACTGGTCACAGTTGTACTGAGAAAGCATCGGGTCCTTTAAAACACAAAATCCACAATTTCATGAAATGGGTCAGTGCTGAACAAAAATCTTCTTTCTTGGAGTTAAAATAGGCAAGTTGCTTTCTGGTATTTCACAGGACTCACATATTATCACGAACATGATACACGTTAACTATGTTATAGCACCAAAAGGTCCCAATTTTTTAGATTTTGCTCTTCTTTGAAACTACTAGGCTCTACACTGGCTTGAACACATGGAAAGATATTGCCCCTGTGAGAAAGCAAAATAGTATACCAGCTTTCCTGGATAAACTATGGGTAGACTATGAAATGTGAACAGATGTCTTTTAAAGTATGAAGAATGACAACCAATTTTTAAAAATATGCTGAAGAAAACTCTTTGTAAGCTTTGGTTTTTTCCTTGCTTTGGTTTTCTGTATTAACACTTGGGCTTGCACTCAATATTAATCCCTCCCATATTTCTCAGCTCTTGTGTAGAAAACACACCACAGTCCTACAGCTGCGGCATTTCGAAGTCTGCACAACATGCTGTACATGCCATTGGTTGACATTTTATTGACAACAAAGGCCCGCAGCACAGCAGTGCTTTTAGAGATGGGATTAACATAATGAACTCTATCTTCATGGCTTTTTCATGGCATTTCTTTATATAAAAGAGTGAAAAAAGACCCAAACTAGAAACAAACATTTTTTTCCTCTTCTTTTAGGACACAGTCCCCTCTGAAATAACTGTACGCTCCTAAAGGAGAGAAAAAGTCTTTAAATAAAGGAACACATTTGTACTTGTAAGAAGAATGTAACTGCTGAAGAACTAGGGGGAAAAAAAAGTACTGACCTTTCTATGAGGCAAGAAGAGCTCAAGTGTGGGGCCTGCACTAGTACAACATTATAGCTGATTGAGTAAACTCCATCATGAGATAGTAACATGAACAATGCTGCGACCTCCTACCACACAGGGACAGGCTGAAACAATTTTACAGCAATGCAAAACACCAAGGTTTCAAAATTCTTAAAACTACATGTACAAAATCCAGCAGGTATTGCTTTAAGTCAGTCCCAAGTCAAATGGTCCTCATGCATGAGCAGTACGCACAAACACAGCCACTGAACCCAGCCTAGGTTTGCCAGATGCCCCGCCCATGTTTGCAGGATAGTCCTGAATGCAGGAAAGAGAGTAGCACCCTGAGCAGGAATCAGCAATTTTGTCTGCAAAGCTCTGATCCTCCCCTCTTAAAGCTTCAAGAAAACTCTTCAATGAAAAAGTTCTTGGCAGAGTTTTCATCTGTTCTTGGCTGGACTCGCTAGCCAAGTCTGAAGCACACAGAGATCTGGTTTATTTTTGTCCTAGTACATGAGTAAAACCCCACAATATTAATGTTTTTTACAGAATTAAGTGGAGCAATCACACAGACATCAGGCCAGCTTGAATGTAATTGCTAAAAAATGAATTTAGACAATTAGGAATTATGGTTTCTGACTTTTGCAAATTTTCTTTCTTTTCTTTTGGTCTGTCCCTTTCTGAAGTCCTGTATCCCAGCCTTCCTTTTAGTAGCCTTCTACAAACACATGAAAAAACTACCTATGTATCTACATGAGGAACTTATTCAGCCCCTTTAGTGGGTGACAACAGAAGAACATGGCAATTTGGTATGAACTCAAACTGCAATTTAATCAAATTAATGTTGCAAAGGTGCCTTAGTAAGACATCAAAGTAAAAAAAAATGGCTGTAAAAAAAATCACAGTGGCCACCAATTGCAGCAAAAACCTGTCTGCAGCCAAATTGCCAGCAATAAACTAAAACATTATATCCACTTAGAAATTAAAAGGTGCAAACTAAACATGCAAACTGCTTACAAAAATGGGGCAAATTACCCTGGTCACTGTGGAAGTAGAGGGTATTCAGCAACTTTCCTAAAAGTTCTGTCAACTTGCAGAATCATAACTCAGTTTCTCTAGGAAGTTCTGAGATCCTGAAAACCAAACACATTTGCGGACCATATCCAATCCCTCCACCCTGGTTCACAACCTTTGTTTAAGGAAGACAAGTAATCTGTATTATGAAAAAAGGCTGTGCTCATTTTCCTAACGTACTTTCCTGTGACTTTCACCCTCAGTTATATAAGAGTGGGAAGCATGGACAATTCATTCTTAATGCTAGCTCAGTCCTGGCCTCTCCTGGGCACTGGCTGAAAATAATACTAAACCATGCTGAATCATTTACAGTAGCTTTATGATGTGGATTATCATTCAGCAAGGACTGACCTGACCTCATCACACTCATTTCATGCAGCAATGCAGACTGGACTCCAACCAGAGTCTAACAAATGCCACCCACATTTGGCACCAACACAAGTCATGCATTCATGTAGAAGGCTCACTCATAGAATAAAACTGCTTTAAATTTATTCTTGAACTAAACTTTCAGTAATTGTCATATCCTTGCCTCTTCTGTCAGCATGGGCAGTGCTTTAAAACTGTAAGCTGCTCAGACATATATGCAGTTTTTTGTTTCAAGCAGCTTCCCTACTCTTATTTTCAGAAGGGTATTAGCCATTATGAGAAAATATTTTGTTAATCAATGCTTCCAGCAGTCACACAGATTTCTAATGCCTCTGCTAAAATAATGGTCCTTTATTCTGCTTCTTACTCTAGACAGAGATTCTGGTCACAAGGCATAGGAACAATTTACCTTCTCTTAGACACAAGAGATACTGTGCTACAACACAATGCAAAAATGTGAGCTCCTCAGTCATGCAGGACCTGGTCATATGGCTGCCCACTGAATTCCTTCTCTTTCCACCATCATAAAAGGGAGTACAAGATGCTGTTGCCATTTATATTCCACTGATTACACAAGCTATTTTCATGGCAGGACTCTGCTGTTGCATTCCATCTCAGAGGCTGAATGGATTGAGTTTTTTTAGTGGATTCTATTAAAATAGATGTTGGTTCCAATAGGACAAATTCATCAGGTAGGGAGCTTTTACAATGAGTCATTTTAAGGTAATCTTTGTACACATGCTCTTCAAATAGCTTGAACTCTTTGAATGATAAAAGTACACAGAAACAATAGTAGCTGTGAGTGGAGAAGAAATGTTTTAAAAGCTGGTTTTGTTAAATGTTAAACCAGAAAACGAAACTCTGATTTTAGACTGGATTTTTCTATGTGTATTCCCATCCTTACTGATTTCTTTCTAGTATTAAAACTAAGGGAAACAAAAGTTTTAATTGCAGGACACTTTCAGTTTTACTCATGAACTGTCACTATCAATCATTTATGTTTTCTAGTGAACTCCTACACTAAATAAAAAGAGAATATAAGAATAAATCTTTTAAAAGGAATCAATTTGCTGCACATCAATCCCTGCAGGCCATGTGCTCATAAGTCAATAGTTTAAAATGAAAACATCTGATCAAGGTAATACACCTGTTAAAGGAGCATAAAATTCCAAACCCAATGGTAAAATATAAAGATTATGAAGCCTCTTAAAGGAGCCATCAAAGTAAACTATTACACAGATACATCTGCTTCATACCAGCACCTGCTCCATCAGTGCCACTCACAATAAATGAGCATTAGGACAAACACTTCATAGAGCATCTGCAGAAAAATAGTTTTTTTCTGAAAGTAATTCAGCTCAAGAAAAGAAAAAAGTAATGATTTAGCACTGCATGTGCTTTCTAATAAAGTATCTCCAAGCAAGAAAAATATTAATGATCTGAGCACATCACGAATCTGCACATTAGCAATTTATCAGTCATGTTTTACAGACGGAGCAACTCCGATACACGATAGGCAGGGTGAAGTGACCAGCATGTTTCAGCGTGTTGAGAGCTGGGCTCAAGCACACTCCAAAGCTCACAGGGAATCAGTACTATCACTGCTACTATGAGTATTACTATTACACAGTTCAACCACTTGTTCTCTTTTTCCTACCTCAGCAGCTCTAACTTTTGCAGTTTTGCTGGAAGAGGAAATAAATCCCCTCACCAGCACAGGAATCCTTGCACTTTTCCAGTGTGTCATTTCCCCCCTTTCCTTCTCAAGCAATACAAATCCCACATGGAAACTCTCTGCCAACATACTCACTTATGCATGGGCTGGTGGTAGAGCCAAGGGAATTTTTGTTTCTCTTTTGTTTCCCTCCTTTTTTTTTCTTTTAATTTAAACAAAGAGTGTTCATGGCTACATCTGAGGGACTTTTGAGCCCCTTTCCAAAAGCTTATGGGCCTTTTGAGTCTCAGTTGTAATTAGTCTCAACCATGTTTTGTAGTGCTTGTGATCCCAGTTGGGTTTGGCCCTGAGTTTAAAATGGAGGGAAGGGTTGGTACCTGGTTTTCCTTCTCCAGACTTTCTCCACCTTTCTCACTTATTTTCTCAGGTTTTGCAGACATGAGAGGAAGAGAAATATAGTTGCATATACAGGGCCATGGGAGCAGCACAATTTCTCCCAACACCTGGCTCCCAACCAAACCAGCGGCCAAACCTCCTCTGGCTTTACAGCCCTGGGAAAGGCTTTCACAACAGTGCTAACACAAATTTCACACTCCTGCATCTTCCCTTCGTGCAAAAGAAAGCTGATCCCAATACCTAAACTTTATGTCCCCCTGGTCCCTGCCCATGGATGCTGCTGGGGGGCACAGGGTGCCAGCAGGCAGCTCCCAAGGGGGGAGAGAGTGCCTCCCACCCAGCAGCACATGGACCCACATGAGGTCCATGAGTGTGAACTAGAGCCCACCAGTGTTTCCCTTTTTGCTCCAGAGGCCACTGGTGTTAACGTTACCCTCCACACTACCACATGAGTAATGCCACTCATGTGACCAGAATTTCCAGGTGCGGAATTTAAATTCTTTGCACCTTTGACTTACCTCATGAAGGAGAGATGCCATGGCCCCAGCTGCCTCAGCCTGCCAGAGACCACAGTCCTTCACCAGGAACCCAAGCTTTTTCATCTGGGACCCTCAAAAAAGGGCATTTAACACATTTGTCAAAGTGGTTGAACAGTCAGGGC